GATGAGAAATCCAGGGAGCTCATCAAGACGTTCATCCGATATGGTTACAAGGGCATCGTGATCAAGCAATGGTCATCCAGACCGATCGCATGCTTTGTCCGTGGCGGACCCTCTGCAAGAGTGGAACTTTTGGCAAGATACATCTCCACCAAGAGTCAGAATTGGGGAACTACATTCGGAATGTTCAGATGCTTTTTCGGAATCGAAGGAAACTGCACTGATCCTGAATATGACACACCGACCTCCGATTGTTTGGCAACTACGGGAACATCCATGTTCGAAGAGTCCAAGAAGTATATCGGACCGAGATTGCCAGCAAGAACCAGTGTTCAAGGATATGGTCGAAACAAGGAGATCGTCGTTCTCCACATCGAGCAGAGTGAGGAATTTCGTGGCATGATCCCGAAGTCATCCGACAGGTCACATCCTGAGTTTGACGACCGCCGCATCACGAGGGCAGATCTCCCTTTTGCAACAATAGGAGTTTTCCACATTCATCCCTCCATCAGCCATGGAGCAGCACGGGAAGATCTTCAGAATGAAATCATGCCGCTCGTGACCTTGTACCAATGCGATGCAATCACCGGAGACGCCAACAAGGCGGCAAACACCTACAGCAAACTCCAGCACGTCTATAATCCGGACAACGGTCTCGTGAACATCCTCATGAGGAAATATCAGAGACTGTGGAATGGAACGAAGAATTTGCCACTCGTGGACAGAATGGAGTATGCAATGGAGACTTCGTGCACCTTGAAATCCATTATCCGTCATCACCTGTACATGAAGTGTGGATCAGGATATGATCGAACTTTCCCAGATGTGATGATGACGTTCGTATTTGGATGGGGCAAGACGAACATCCAACAGGCATTCCGGCAGGAAGAGATGAACGGCATTGACGATGAACAACTGGAACTCATGCGGAACGATCCCACTAAGGCCATCTTCGATTATCAGGTCTCATCCGCAGAGCGCTACAAGCACATGAACAATGACATGTTCATGAACGGCTCACAGGACTCCGACTTGCACAGTCCCCTCATGGTTTACATCCGCAGCAAATCTGCAACCAGACAACGCAACTTTGAGACATCCCAGGAGTATCTCAGGAAGAAACAAGCCTGGACCAAGCAGGAGTACAAGGATTACAACAACCAGTGGGGACAGAAGCAGTGGAAGGACTACAGCGCCTCGACCTGGAATGATTTTGGAGACTATGGCAGTCAATCCGACAGCAGTCGCCGATGGTATCGCTGATCCGACTGACCATGGAGATTCACACCCTCGCCGTCTACAAGACTATACCATGAGTGAGGAATCAATAGTTTCACAATCGTCCCGCGTGTACATAGCGTTGTACATCAACCTTTTGATACGACTAGGTGTCCCAAAAGAAGCGTACATAGTGTTTTCCATTTCGAAAGCCACGACATTTCATCCGAGCAGAAAAGAGGATGAATCCGGCAATTTTAACATACATGGCTACGGCACATAGCATGGCTACGGCATACATCTAGGCTACGGCATGCATCTAGGCTACGGCCAAAGGCCAAGAAGCCAATAGTATTTCATACTTTGTGCTGGAGATCAAAAGAAATTTGTGTCTGTTTTGTGTTCTGTATTCCAGAGCATTGATCTCCTGCAGCCATTTGGCTCAAGGCCCCTTTTGCAGAATCACGATCATCCGAGCGTGTAGACAAAAGAGCCATTGCAGGCCGCTTACAGGATTATTCACAGAACAATCCACCAGGGACCTCCAATCATCCATTACTGGCATATTGGACTCTCTCCGGAATAGATCCAGGGACCAACAACAATAGACCTCTACTACCACAGGGTACCAGTTCCCTTCTGGGATAGGCACCTGGGGCAGTGGGCCTCACCCTCCCCCCCGCCATCGTTCAGGAATCTAGGACTAAAAAACCCGGCGGAAATTCTCGCGGCACCGGGCAATATGGGGCTACAGCCTGCTTGGTTGCGTAGTGTTTCAAGGGACAAGAGGAAACCGAGTGTTCCAACCTCGAAGACAACCCTTTTTGGCGCTTTTTTGGAGCTGAGCCTTTGTGGTTGGCTTGTATAAAGGAAAGCCAACAGGAAACCAAGTAGATTGCTTGACAGATTGATAGCTCGTCAGAAGCGCGACCGCCAGCATGCACAACAGGCGAGATAAACAGATCGCCTAGCAGGCAGCTTTTTTGGAGCTGAGCCTTTGTGGTTGGCTTTTATAAAGGAAAGCCGACAGGAAACCAAGTAAATTGCTCGACAAATAGATAGCTCGTCAGAAGCGCGACAGTCAGCATGCACAAACAGGCAAGATAAACAGATCGCCTAGCAGGCAGCTTTTTTGGAGCTGAGCCTTTGTGGTTGGTTTTTATAGAGGAAAGCCAACAGGAAACCAAGTACATTGCTCGACAAATAGATAGCTTGTCAGAAGCGCGACAGCCAGCATGAACAAACAGGCGAGATAAACAGATCGCCTAGCAGGCAGGTTTTTGAAGCTGAGCCTTTGTGGTTGGTTCTTATGAAGGAAAGCCAACAGCAAACCAAGTACATTGCTTGACTGATTGATAGCTCGTCAGAAGCGCGACTGCCAGCATGCACAAACAGGCGAGATAAACAGATCGCCTAGCAGGCAGCTTTTTTGAACTGAGCCTTTGTGGTTGGATTTTATAAAGGAAAGCCGACAGGAAACCAAGTAAATTGCTCGACAAATACATAGCTTGTCAGAAGCGCGACAGCCAGCATGCGCAAACAGGCGAGATAAACAGATCGCCTAGCAGGCAGCTTTTTTGGAGCTGAGCCTTTGTGGTTGGTTTTTAAAAGGAAAGCCAACAGGAAACCAAGTAAATTGCTCGACAAATAGATAGCTCGTCAGAAGCGCGACAGTCAGCATGCACAAACAGGCAAGATAAACAGATCGCCTAGCAGGCAGCTTTTTTGGAGCTGAGCCTTTGTGGTTGGTTTTTATAGAGGAAAGCCAACAGGAAACCAAGTACATTGCTCGACAAATAGATAGCTCGTCAGAAGCGCGACAGTCAGCATGCACAAACAGGCAAGATAAACAGATCGCCTAGCAGGCAGCTTTTTTGGAGCTGAGCCTTTGTGGTTGGTGTTGTAAGGGAAAGCCAACAGGAAACCAAGTAAATTGCTTGACAAATAAAGCTCGTCAGAAGCGCGACAGCCAGCATGCGCAAACAGGCGAAGATAAACAGATCGCCTAGCAGGCAGCTTTTTTGGAGCTGAGCCTTTGTGGTTGGTGTTTATAGAGGAAAGCCAACAGGAAACCAAGTACATTGCTCGACAAATAGATAGCTTGTCAGAAGCGCGACAGCCAGCATGAACAAACAGGCGAGATAAACAGATCGCCTAGCAGGCAGCTTTTTGAAGCTGAGCCTTTGTGGTTGGTTCTTATGAAGGAAAGCCAACAGGAAACCAAGTACATTGCTTGACAGATTGATAGCTCGTCAGAAGCGCGACCGCCAGCATGCACAAACAGGCGAGATAAACAGATCGCCTAGCAGGCAGCTTTTTTGAACTGAGCCTTTGTGGTTGGTTTTTATAAAGGAAAGCCGACAGGAAACCAAGTAAATTGCTCGACAAATACATAGCTTGTCAGAAGCGCGACAGCCAGCATGCACAAACAGGCAAGATAAACAGATCGCCTAGCAGGCAGCTTTTTTGGAGCTGAGCCTTTGTGGTTGGTTTTTAAAAGGAAAGCCAACAGGAAACCAAGTAAATTGCTTGACAAATAAAGCGCGACAGCCAGCGTGCACAAACAGGCGAGACAAACAGATCGCCTAGCAGGCAGCTTTTTTGGAGCTGAGCCTTTGTGGTTGGTTTTTATAAAGGAAAGCCAACAGAGAACCAAGTAGATTGCTTGACAGATTGATAGCTCGTCAGAAGCGCGACAGCCAGCATGCACAAACAGGCGAGATAAACAGATCGCCTAGCAGGCAGCTTTTTTGGAGCTGAGCCTTTGTGGTTGGTTTTCATTGGAAAACCAACAGGAAACCAAGTAAACTGCTCGACAAATAGATAGCTCGTCAGAAGCGCGACAGCCAGCATGCACAAACAGGCGAGATAAACAGATCGCCTAGCAGGCAGCTTTTTTGGAGCTGAGCCTTTGTGGTTGGTTTTTATAAAGGAAAGCCGACAGGAAACCAAGTAAATTGCTCGACAAATAGATAGCTCGTCAGAAGCGCGACAGTCAGCATGCACAAACAGGCAAGATAAACAGATCGCCTAGCAGGCAGCTTTTTTGGAGCTGAGCCTTTGTGGTTGGTTTTTAAAAGGAAAGCCAACAGGAAACCAAGTAAATTGCTTGACAGATTGATAGCTCGTGAGAAGCGGATATCCGCAGCTATTTGGAAGGTTGGGATTGTCCCTAACCTTCCTCAATCCCCGCATTTTGACTGTGGCTCAATTGGGGGTCCAAGCTCAACAACACCTGAACAAATAAAAACAATAATAATAATAATCATCAGAATAATAATAATAATAATAATAATAATAATAATGGAAAACATATTTCCAATAGTGATAGATTTACTTTAACACCAACAAGGCAACAAAACAACATATTCTTAAGCAAATGGAAGTTGTTGGTGTTTCAAGGGACACCAAGAGGAAACCGATTGGGGTCCAACCGAGTCCAACCCTCTTCGGAGGTTGAAAGAGATCCGGTGCAACCGGAGAGATATGGCCGTCTGCGACAATTTCCTTTTGCTAAGATGAATTCCAAGACACAAAACCCCACATTTACAGCCCTTGTTCCTTTCTCAGATACCTCCAAGCCGTCCATCAAGACTTTTGTCCATTCAAACTTGGGTGCTGTAGATCCCCCAGCAAAAACTATTTAACTTGCTAAATTTGAAATCTGTCTAAAGGGATTCCAACAAGTTTTCCAGTCTAAAGATCCGTTACCCAACAGCAGTAAAAACAACACCCAACTCCCAACCCGTCGGCCGAAGCGACCCGGATTCGTTCTGACTCCGGTCCTCGGGGTCTTTGCGGCCACAGAGCTCGGCGCGGTAAGCCTCCGGGACCGCCCGCGCGTGCGCGTGCGCGTGCGTTTGGTTTGACGTCGCCCAGGAGTCAAATGGCCATGGGTAAGCCAAATCGGTGAGCCCCCAGGGAACGGGACCCAATCCAATCCAACCACTAGAAAAGGTTCAAAAATGGGTGGTGCACCCAAAAGGTACCATTGGTTTTGACAACCAGAGCCAAATGGAACAGGCTGGGCACGTCTTGTTTGAGGTTGGACCGCCAAATGGTTTCGGCTTTCCCGTTGTTCCTTTGAATCCAACCGACAAGGGGGTACCCTCGAAATAAAACATACCCATGTAGTTCCATGGATAGCTTCCCCATTTTCAGCTGGCCGATGGGAGAAGCAGCCAGCACCCTGTTTCACCCGTCAAAGGGAAACCAACACGAAACCAGCAACCTCACTTCCTGAGTTGATTGGCCAAAAGAGTCCAAACTTTTTGTTTACCACCAAAATGGTCTTCCCAAAAAGTGACTAAAGTCCATGAACTCAGGGAGTGAGCAACACTTCCAAATCCCTATTTTGAGACACAGGACGGGATTTCTCATGGGTGTTGGTCCAAAATAGGAAACTAACATGGCTTGCCCTGGTAAATGGCTTGCCCAGGACCAAAAAACCTGCGGTCCAATTCCTGGTGTGATTTTGCCCCATACCCATTTAGGACCTGAAACAGGTGGCCTCAAGGTCAGGGCTCTCGTGGCCATCCCGATCAGAAGCGTTCATAACCCACAGCCATGGTTATCCCCATCAAACGCTACGTCCATAACCCAGAAATACATGGGTCCCATTGGTCCACCAAATAAATGGCTACGTACCACGAAACTAAAAGTTCATATGGGTTCACACCTGTGCTGTCAGGGTTCTGATGCTAACAGCTTGACCTTCCGCGGGTTACCAGGGAAATGCCCCGCCAAACCGAGCAGGGAATGGTTGGGAACCAGCAAGACACCAAGGGGTTCGACAGACTCAATTCCAGCGCCTGAAAGACGGATCGGAACCTCAAGTAAAGGATGTACATAGGTTATCTCCCCATAACCTTCATTTGCTGAAGTCCCCCGGAAAAAGAAGAAGAAGAAGAAGAAAGAAAACAATCGAATGCCAGCAGTGATACATTTCCTTTAAAACCAACAGGGGAAAACATACATATTCTTAGGCAAATGGAAGATAACATAGGGGAGAACCACCCAGGCTATGTGCTTTGTATCAAGCTATCCATGCGGTTGATACCAAACGCAAGCGCAATGTCCTCTACCTCCCGTTAAGTTCAAAGCAAACCCACTGCAAAACTAGGGCATGTGGGTATTTCATGTTTACCCCCTGCCCAATCAATAAATAATGGTGTTCTTCCGTTGAAACAAACTCCAACAACAACAAAAGCAGGTTGCACCAACAAACCAAAAAAACAAAACGAGTCACCCATTTCCAGGCGGGCTACTTTGAACCAGCCGTTTCACCAGTTGATTCAGTTCCCTGGCCTTTTCCTGAGAAGGTCCCCGGACCAATGACATTAGTTCAGTTGCACACTTGGGTGGCTTGCCTTTTGTGGAGGTACGCTTTTGGTGGTTTAAAAAGGGACCAATAGGAAACCGAAGCCATTTTGGAGCTCCCCTTAAAAAGGACAGACCCAATGCCATGTGTATTGGTGGGAAGCTATCCAAATAATTCGTTTTGCTACTGCAATGTTTTAGAGGAGACCCCCAAATGATTGCTTGGCTTAAAACCAGAGAATCAAGGGCTACCCACAAGAAAAATCCAACCTGCGCCGGCAAATTCGGCATAAATGATGCGAGACCCAGGCATTGCCAACCAAACATCGTTCCACTGGGGTTGCCTTGTCTTCTGGGACCACTCCCCCCGAACTCCAATCAACCCCTCCCCCCACAAGGAAACAAAACAAAAGCGGCTAACCAGCTGGGGGTGAACAAGCAGCCGCAAAATAAGTTCGCCTCAAACTAGTCTAGACCTCAACGAATGACTGGTGAGTCAGCTCCGGATCAGCTCAAGCTTTCCCTGTATCGACAAAAGAACTAGCCGTACCGGAAAATGATACAACTGAAAGGCTATTAGTTTTGATTTACATGGGGATTCCTGGCCACCCAGTTTGGAGGGCATTCCTCATTGAAATGCATAGCCAGAACTGTCAAACTGCAAAGCGGCCTGATGCTAGCTGCCCTTGAAGAGTTGGTTTGCTTTCCCTTTTGTAACAAAGAGGAGGGTTGGTAGTAAAATGGGGGAACCCCTATACTGAGGGTGGTGCCTTTTCTTTTGAAAGGGGGCGCCGGCAACGCCCAGGAGGAGACGAGCACACATCATGCATCTTACTGGCTCTTAGGCTCATCTCCTGTCTTCTCCTAGCTAATATAACCCCATGAAACACGTGCCATGATCAAAACATGGACCGGGCTTTGATTGTGGACATGAAAATTACTTGCAGCAGGACATTTGTCGGAAGAGGCGGGGTATGTTGCATACCGCCAAACAACATGTTGACTGGGGCGAGAGATGTCATAGCAAGAACCGGTATCAAAGGCATACACCCCAAGCCAAATAGGAGAACAGAGGGACAGCACCTATTTACCTCTGGGAATCGTCCCTCGCCTCCAATTACCCGGGTGTCGAATTTTTTGGACAGCTCTAAGTGGTTGAATTCCTTTCGGCCGCTCTTTCCACCCCAAAAGGGTGCAGGAATTTAGGACACTTCCTTTACTCTCCCTTTCTGGGCAAATCGCTACCTCAAAACTACATTGGAATTCGGTCTTGGCCCCAAAATGGTGGGGTGAGTTCCTTTTGTTTTTTTGTTACTTTGAGGGCTTCAGGTACTCAAGGTACGAGTGGAAGTGGACATTTCAGGTGGCCACCTCTCGGCCCGGACCTGGAGACGGGTTACGCTTTGGGCACCTGGAGACCTCGTTGAAGTTTGGACCAGCCAACGAGCCAACCAACCGACCCACCCACCCACCAACCGACCGAACCGACCAACCAGCCAACCAACCGACCAGCCAGCAAACAAACGGAAAGCTCTTTCGAACTGCGCTCCAAAAAGCTCGCATCGAGTCTCTCCCGCCTTGGGATTCTTCCAATGCACCGCTGCTAGCGCCGCTGCACGCGAGAGACGTTGTACAGCCCAGCCGTAGTTTCCGGAACCTCGAGACGCCGTGAGTGAAATAGAAAGGGACCCCACAAGGAAAAATATAATATTATATCTAGGTCCTCCAGTTTTCAGAGGTTAGAACAAGGGCACCCGATTTTTTGCTGGACGTCTATTTTAGTAGGGGAACCCTCCCCCAAAAAAAGGGGGCAAAAGGGCACTACTGAGAGACCTAGGTTTTTCACTCGGATGGGCTTACTCCGGTACTACGGCCCACGGTGGCAGCTTTCCCCCCAAGTAGCAAGCCGGTTCTAAGAGTCTTGCGGATCAAGGCTTCTTTCGATGAGAGGGAAAATAAAATGAAGGGTCCCCATAAATGTACATGTTGTTACATTTTGCAAGATTTTGAGGGTCCTTATTAATGTACATGCATGGCCGGCGCGGCGCTGGCACGCATTTTCCTCAGCGACAGCCAGGTCTGTCAGACAGGTGAGAAGAGGGGCACCGCGTGCCACTCACCGTAGTAGCACAAGGCACGATGGTCCATGGAGGGCCCTGATGCACACAGAGGCAGTGACTGCCAAGTGCAGCATGGCCAGGCGGCCCAAGAAGTGCCTGCGTAAGAGCTACATTGGGCGGGATGGGCGGGCAGCCAAACGCTGCGTGTGCTGGCTTGATCATGCATGCAAGGACATGCATGGCCGGCGCGGCGCTGGCACGCATTTTCCTCAGCGACAGCCAGGTCTGTCAGACAGGTGATAAGAGGGGCACCGCGTGCCACTCACCGTAGTAGCACAAGGCACGATGGTCCATGGAGGGCCCTGATGCACACAGAGGCAGTGACTGCCAAGTGCAGCATGGCCAGGCGGCCCAAGAAGTGCCTGCGTAAGAGCTACCACAAATGCCTGAAGCCGCAGCAGCTTGGAAAGGTGGCGCGCTTCCGTCCTGGAGCGGCGGAAGGTCACTCTATGGCCGACAACGGCGCTGCAGGCTGAGAGGCTGAGGCGTGCGCTAACAATATGGGCAGGAGTCTTGCTGCACCTATGACACGGGAACGGGATGGCTGGGATAGCTTCAGGAGAGAATTCTCGGCTGCAACCTCTTGGAGGTAATGCTCTAAAGTCTGGAGGTGTCGCAGTCTCATGGACCACAGCAGGTCAACGAGAGGCATGCCCGAGTGGTAGGCATGCACAGCTCCACCACCACGTAACCCGCCTGGGGTGAGGGAAGCGCTCTTAGGGATAAGCAGGGCTTCAAGTATAGCATCCCACCTTCGCCTGTAGGTGGCCGCCGAAGCGGGGTACAACAAAGAGGTTGGCTCTAAGTCCGAAAAAGCCAGCTCACACAACTGTACACAAACACCTGAGGTTATTTTGGAATGCTGAATGAGGCCCCCCCCACGGTGCCGAGTCTTCGCCTTTTCAATCCTGAAGAAAAGGATCGGCTTGTCGAAAGAGAGCAAGTCCGTGGGCAACAGCAGGTCCTGCCTTCGGCCGGCCAATGGCTCACCGGGTCTCATAAGGCCAAAGAAAGCAAGGGCCGTCAAGGCGGCCCATCGTACCCAGCCCCACCCAAGGGCAGTGCTGAGCATTGCATCCAGGACAGGCTTAGCCAACGGGGTGCGGTGGCGCACCGGATTGACTCGCTCCCAACGGGTAAGCAAATCCCAAGCTAAAGGCAAATATGGGCGAAGGTGCAATGCATTCTTTTGGTAAAAAGCGAGCAAATGGCGGTACAAGTACGCGGGCTTATTAACACAGAACAAGTGATTACCGTATGCTCTCAAGATATGGCAAAGAAGCACGGGGCACAACCGGGCGGCTTGCACACAAGGGGCACTAAGCTCTGCTGCAAGCCAATCCTCAAAAGCACTCACAACGCGGCTTTGTAGTCTGGCTGTGGCGGGGGTTACTAGCTGTACATCCTCCAACCCTCCCTGAGTAGACAAAGGGGGTCCGGGGTTTTTAGCCTCGCCTATATGGTTAGCCTCCGACCCAGAACAGGCCACACTGGCTGCGGCATTGCTTGTGCCGCTGGATTGCACTAGGCTGAGATGGACCCCCCGGGCTAGTGATTTGCACAACCCGGCGGGGTAGGCCTCGGCAAGCTTGGTCCAAGCACAGCGCCTAGCTTTGCAGTACCCTTTAAGGTGGATGTGGGGACCCTTACACTGGCACAGGGTACGAGTGTCCCTAAGGGCACAGCTTGTAAGGAACCGGGTCCGCTTCCGCCAAGGGGTCGAGAACCTACACTGGTCCACCGTGAACCAACCAACGCTGGCGGAACAAGCCAGCTGCTGAAACTCGTGCAAATCCCACATGAAGCTGAGCCAGGGATTCTCAACCCAGAAAACAATACCCAGGTGCAAGGCTTGTGTCATGAATGCGGCGACCCACACTGCCAGCTGATTGCCAAGCTTTACCTTGGCTTGCATGTTACTGCTCACGCCACTGAAACCGTAAGGGGAGGCCCGGGATCTAACCGCAGGCCTCACTGCGCGTGAAAAACTTGCACACACGGGAGCAGCGGAGACGGAAAGGAAGAGACCGCTCTGCAAAAGCCGCTGCAGGAAAAGCTGCACTCTAGGGTCACTAAGGTCCTCCTTTGGTGAATGCTTCAAGTCAAAGCACAGCACCCAGCACTGCGATGTGTCGGCAAGTGCGGTAGCGCCCCCCCTCCAACCCGAAAACAAATCCAAGCGCCCCTGACGGTGAAACACATCGGCACGACTCCGGCCCCTCGGGAACACAAACTGGTCGGCCGGAATGGTTTCGACGAGATTGCGGGCGTCCGGAGTTAGAAGGCAGCTGTATTTATGTTCGGGTAGGGGCTGCTTTACAGGGCTCGGGCCGGCGCAGCGCCGCTTTGTGCTGAGGCTGAACTCCTGGCGTCGAGCGTTCCTGCGACTTTCAGAGGGCAGTGCCGGAACGTCCTTCCCTGCAAACAGGGGGACCTTAGCAAGTGAGGGGGGGTCCAGACGCTGCTCCCTGAGAAAATGGTCGAGCTCCTCAAAGTCCCCGCTTCGAGCCAATTGGAACCACTTTGCGGGCAAAGGCTTAGGGGGTCGCACACTCCGGCCCCGCGTCGGGTCGTCAGCTGGATTCAGGGCAGTGGGTAGATAGTTAAAAAATGAGTACACATTACCACCAAGAAGAGCAGGCAAGTGTCGGCGCATCTCACGATTGATGCAGGCCGATGCCGAGCGGCCCTTGATGACGGCACCTAACACCACTTGCGAATCTGACCCAACAAGGAGCCGAGTGTTTGGCGACTCCCTGCTCCGCCGCTCCTCTGCAAGAAGGACTCCCTTTAGCTCGCTTACATTTATGTGGGCCCCTGGTCTGGTCCTAACACAAGTTTGCTCTTGAAAGGGACAATGCTCTGCTACGGCACTCCAAAGTGGATGGCTACGGTACACAACTCCATCAGGTAGCTCTTCGCTGGGAAGGAGCAGGCCTTTTGACCGCTCCCAAGCGCGGGCTGGGGAGAGCAGCCTTGTCCACGCAGGGCGCCGCAATGCATGCCGGGGCATCTCCCTGGCAAGCTCAATGCCAATGGTGGACGACACAACTGCAATGGCTTGGTCCGAGGCATCAACGGCTACAAACTCCGGGAGGCTACTGGCCCTCAAGTCACTACAAGCTAAAGGGGCAAGCACTACCCAAGTCCACAACTCGTCCACCATGCTCGGAGTCAAGGCGAAAGGCACACCGTACCTGTGGGAATGGATGCAGCTAAACACTTCATCAAGCAAGGCCATGAGTCGCCGCCTGAATTGGAAAACGGCCGTCCAAGACCCACCCAGGATCTCCATCAACTCCCTATTAGCCCAACCGATCGATGCAACTCGGGCCGTGACCGATACGAGGGGCAGCACACGACTAAGCTGAGCACGGATAAGGCCACTGCTGCCACAAAGCGACGCTCCCCAGAAAGAGCCTTTTAGCTCGTCCCTGAAAGCTTTCTTTGCGTTGCGACTGAGGCCCACAGCGGAATAAATCTCGGTCATAACGTCTGCAAGGATGGCTGCACGGCTGGGCTGGGGCAGAGGGGAGAACGGGCTCGGCTGCCGAAGGGTTAATTCAAACAGAACCAAATCGTCTATAACGATGCCGACTGCATGCTCCCCCCTCGGCCAAACCCCGTGCATAGTGACCAGACTACCCCGAGTGGCTAGGCCATGAGCAATTGCTAGCTTAGCGTGGGCTTCCTGTCCAAACTCTACTGAATTTAGATCCCCCATCGCCATCGTTGCTAAACAGGGGACCACTGCGGTTGCACCTTCAAGCGACTTATCCCAACAACGGAACTTCCTGGCCTCGGCTAAGGAAAGGGTAATGGCTAGGGAGTTCCGACATTTGCGTTGGGCACCGATCCTATAAAAATAGTAATAATCGGTCAAGTCTTCGCCTGAGACCCGGATGTCACGATCGGCCGGCAGCTCAAGGTACAACAGTGGGTAGAAGGAGCCTAGGGTGTTTGTCCAGGTATTGAGACCGGGCTCAAGGGAATTTGGACCACGGGCGTCCAAAATCAGGCGGTCCCTCTCCAAGCTCTTAGTAACTGCAAACAGACCTGAACGGTGGGACATCCTGGCTTCACGTGCGTCCACCAATGACAGGCGGTCGGAGGAATCAAGGAGATGCAACAGACGCAAGGCTTCGGGCCTATCACAATGCACACGGGTCTGCACGAGAGGCTCTGTTGACAACTCGGGCTTTACTGCAAAGTCAAGTGGGCGCTGGTACATCTCCAAAGACGGACCTCCAAGGTATGGTGATGGGTCAAAACTGGGCCGCCCAGAGAAGGCAAGGCGGTCTGTGCGAATGGGCTTTGCAACCTGGGCGGCTGGTGCTTGACCGACCAAGGGCCTCACTTTAGGGGCGCTTTGGGGTTCGGCACTGACTCCATGGCGAGCGTATGTGCCGGCGAGTCGTGTGCCGCATGCTGCTCGGCGCAAGGCTTCCACGCTGAATTCAACGGTTTCAAACTTTGAGGCCGATCGCCCCATGTCCTGGGCGGTCACTGCTGGGGCATCACGCCAATCGCCCAGGAGCCGCCGGAGCCGATGGACTAAGCCCCACTGTTTAGGGCTCAGCCTCCGGTGCCACACGAAGTCGGGCGGGGGTGAACGGGGCTGTCCAAAGTGAAGCCAATTCAACACAACGATTATTATGCTGATGCAGAGCTTCACAAGGTCGGGGCTACCCTCCCACAAGTGTGAACTTCGGCCCAACAAGTAAGGCAGCGGCATGGGCCACAGAGCTCCTGGGGTCCCGCACTCTGCGCGCGGGGCAGACACTGGCTGAGTGGCACTGAGGAAAAAGCGCCTGAGGTTAACTGAGGCGCTGTGCAAAATATGTCTAATTAAAGAGGCCCACAGGGCTCGGGCATGCACGGTGCTGGCTGACGAGCCCGGGACTGTATTTGGCAAAAACGGTTCACCCGAGCCTGGCGTCCTCGGCTGGTCAGTGCATGCTCTTCTCACGGGGCGGCTGGCTCGGGGGCCAATGGCTGGCTCCCTGGGCCCTTGCCCTTCCCCTTTGGCTTGGGAGGGCGTGTGTCTCCCCGAGGCTTGATCTGTTCGGGGTTGGGCTGCTCTCCATGAGGCTTGGCACGCTGGGAGAGTTTCTTCCTCTTGTCGAGGAAGTCCTCGATCTCCTTCAGCTTCCACAACAACAGGTCCAGCCACACAGGCTCTGCGAGCTTTGTGAACGGTGTCTCGGACCCCTCCGGGAGACGGTGATGATTGAACGCCGAGAAAGGAGGACTCTCCTCGAGCGAGAGCTCGCCTGCGAGAACCCACGAGCCTCGATCCACAGCTAGCTGGTCCCCCTGAGCAACCAACAACGCACACCTGGCTCGGGCTTGGGCATACTCCTCGTTCATGAGACAATCCCAAACCCCCGCTATTCCCCAAATGAAGCGTATGTTGGTCTGATAGGGCTGCACTTTGGAGCGGAGCTCCAGCCACGCCCTGGCGGACACAGGCACTGCACTCGAGCCCGGCAACTGACGGGCCAGATTGAAATCGGCCCGGAGGTTTGCCTCGATGCGCTCGTAGATGTAGGCAGGCTGAGATGACAGGGCAGCCCTGAGTTGCTGCAAGGCCACGGCATTCCGCCGCCCGGCAGATCCAGAGGCGCCCTCCCCGTGGCTGCTGTTGCTCCCGGCGCCCTCGAGGATGGCTTGCAAGCCTCTCTCCTGCTTTCTGTTCGATGCAAGAGCGTCCGCAATCTCGGTCAACTTGCTCAGAGCCTTTGCAACCGGGTCCACGCCCTTGGCGGGCTCCGGCTCCTCCTCCTCGCTGGCACTTGCTGACAGAGGGTCGGCACGGGCGGCTAGGGGCCTCTTTGCCGCTGGGGCTGGGATGTCGCCCAGCTTCCCAGGTCGCTTTTGGATGAGTGCGCTCATCTCTGCCAGATGCTCGCGGCTGATGCCAGCAGCAATGGCTGCGTTGACGACTGCAGGATCTAATCCGGGCAGCGGCAACCCAGACACAGCAGCAGCGGGTCCTGATGGCGGAGGACCCTGCGGCTTCTTGAGCGCTGGCTGGCGGGGTGGCGCGGGTGTGGCAGCGGGCTTGCATGGCTCACTGGTCTCTCGTGAAAGTAGTCGCTCAAGGCTAGCTTGGATATTACCCAGGGTACCCTCAAGTCGTTCTACTCGCTGGTCAAGGCCAGATGCAGGCACCTCAGCACCGGCACTGTCGGCGCTGAGGAACAGGTCAGGGTAAAGCTCTTCGGCGAACCTGACTAGGTCTCCAGCAAATGGGAGGACCTCGGCAGCTCCCTCTTGCTCTGCAAACGAGAAGTCGACGGCGACCTCACTTCCGGGAGCAGGGAAACTAACCAAACCTTCGGCTTCGTGACTGAGGAGTCCGACCCAAACACGCAGTGACAGGTCGGGCAACGGTTGGTCACGATTCTCTGGCGAGGCGCCCCGAACTGTGGCCACGGACGGTCGGCTGAACAATTGCAGGGGCACTACACGCCGGGCAATGGTCCTGTGCCAGGCACGATGCGGGATGGCAACAAGCACGTCCGGACCAACCAGGCAGATGGCAGCGGCGGCCACAGTGGTAGTGGCCTCACTCTCAACGATACTGAGGACACCAAAAGGGTAAAAGTTATCTACCCCACTATCCCCTATTATCAGATTATTACGGGGCCCGTCAAGGGCTTCGGTCACCGGCGTGGCAGGCTCAGGCTCGGTCATGGCCACTCAAGGCCGGCAGCAGTGACGGCAGCACGGGCCTCCCACTCGGAGGGGAAACCGGTGAACACCGAATCCCCGAACTCTCCGCGCTTGCCGACCCACGGGACCAGCTGGGCAAAGCTCTGGAACACTTTAACGGGCGAATGCTTATGGCCGTTGATGTCTCGCACACACACGTAGATCACACTGGGCAGGGGGATCGAGTCGCGACCCGATGGGCCCCTGGCTCTGCCCTTCAGGCAGCGAACCCAGAACAACCCAATGGACCTTGCTGCGGCCAATCGCCGCTCCGTGCTCACAGGGGCGTGGGATGATGCAGCACTGGTACTACGGGGGCTTTCGGCAGCTTCCTCGGCGGGCAGCACGAGCTCAAACTCAGAGGCCAACTCTAAAGCAGTCACTCGGTCGGCAAGGCTTGCTACCTCGTCCTGGAGCCCGGCAAGCTCAACCAGCTCACGAGCGGCCGAGCTCCGGCTCATGCAGACGGCCGGTTCCGCACAAGTACAGCAGGGCTCCACTGGTTGGCCCGGTTCCTGATCACAGCAAACAAGTAATGCTTGATGATGAGGATGAGGTCCAGTACCTGAGCGAGCGCCAACCCGAGGAGGATCCCTGCACAAAGGGACGGCACGTCGAAGGCAGGCCCCCAATGAAGCGGTGCCCCTGAGCAGTGTCCCAGGTCCCCGATCGCAGCCGGCTCAAGGCCCCAGAAAAGCGCTTGCAGGATGGCGCCACCTACGCCACCACCCGCTACGCCCGCTCCTAGGGGGCGAAGCATGCACTTCTCCAGCCAAACGCTGCGTGTGCTGGCTTGATCATGCATGCAAGGACATTTACAGGGACCCTCAAAATATGTAGATTTGGTTGCATGTTGTGTGATTTTGAGGGTCCCCATAAATGTACATTTATGGGGACTCTCAAAATATGTATATGTTGTTACAGTTTACACGATTTTGAGGGTTCCTATCAATGTACATTTATAGGGACCCTCAAAATATAGAGGATTTCTTACATTCTACTAGTCCCTTAGGCAGGGCGGAAGTTCTTATCAGCTGGAGCCTTTTTGGACGGAAGGGGCCCAAAAGTTAGAAAGGGGGATTTTGGGATCATCCTTCTTGCTTCCAACAGGATCCTGCGAGGGAGGGGAATGGCATCGCGGCATGCCAGGCTTGTTTTGTGAGCATCAGAACAGATGACTCGTACATGTTCTGTCAGGAGATCCATGGCCCCACCAAAAAAAAGCCAAAAATGGGTGGATCAACTCCAGGCAGCCTCTGCAAAAGCGATCCAGGGAGGAGTTGAGCCTCCATGATTTGCTTGTCAGCAGTTGCTGCAAAGACGACGCCTCACCCATAGGGCAACTGGATCTCTGACACCCAGATTTAGCAAACGCGAAAAGCCTTTGACGGGAAAGTGTTTTTCTTTTTGCTTCAAGTTTGTAGCTCCGCACCTAAACCCTGCTGGCATCCACCGTATCAATATTCGATCCTCATGGTTGGACTACACAATGGGATGCGTTGCCCTGTGGCCCTGAAACAAAGTCACAGGATTGCAATTCTGGGCTTCCGGTAGCTCGCCCTTCATATTCTTGGGATCGTATTCCTTGGATTCCGTTGGATTCCCTTGAACCAAGATCCAAAAGGGTGCGTGCTTTTTCAGGCTCCAAGAAAAGGGTGCGTGCTTTCTCAGGGAACCCCTCCGAAAGAAAGGTGGCAAAACCCCCCCCAAAAAACCAAGAAAGGGTCCCTCCAAAAGACCCATCCCCAAGAAAATAGACAATCAAAAGAAACAACACCTAAAAAGAGACCATTCCCCTTAAAATCTCGGGCCCTGGCCCACAAAGCTGGACCGCATGAAGTTGTTCTGCATCGGCCCTGACTGCTGTCCTGCCAGGCGCGAGCGACGGAGCGATCGCTCATCCGTCCGGGGCAAGTCTTGGTTGACGTTGGAATATTTTTTGCAGTGAAGTACAATAGGCAAGAATGTAAAATGGTTCCCAACAAAAAACCTTGCATCCGAGACAAGTTGGCAGCGAAGCCTTTTCTTGCTTGCTCTTAGTACGGAACATGTAGGAATGACCCTGTTCCAAGCTCTACTGGGTGCAGGCTGGGAATGAGGTTAATTCCCATGTTCTACCCATGTAACAACAAACACGTGTCCTGCCTTCGGCTTGCTCGGCATAGAACTACATAACATATTCATTGAAGTTTTTGCTTACCCTGGTGGACATGTTCTTTTTCTTGGAGGGTTCCCTGACTTTGTGAGACGTGCATTGAGTCCTTCATGTCCCTCCCACATTCACCATAGACTGTACATGTTGTCATCTAGGTCCTCCAGTAGAGAGGTTAGGATAAGGGTACCCTTTTTTTCTGTAGTCTATTTTAGCAGGGGAACCCTCCCAACCAAAAAAGGGGTGAGAAAGGGCACTACTGAGGGGACCTAGTTTGCTTGGGGAAATGGGCAACAGGGGCACCGCACTTCTTGTCAAGAAAAACCCCACCACAAAACAAATCAACTCTCCAAAAAAAACAACTTGATGTCAAGGTCCAACCCCCCGACCCACAAAAGCAGACCAAAAACAAAACAAAACAAAACACCCCCCCTCCCCCCCAAACAAAAAACAACTGATGTCAACCACAAAAAAAGCAACGGCAACCGCGCCCGCACACCGCCCGCGCACCGTCCTGTGACCTGGCGGGAGGGAGGCCTGAAGCCACCGAAGCCCCTGGCTTCGGGGCGGCTTCGGGCGGGCGCCGCTTTCTTCGGCGCTGGTGGATCATGGGGTTCTGGGAGGGGAGGGGAGGGGAGGGGAGGAGGGGAGGAGGGGAGGGAGGGGAGGGGAG